AGGGATTAGGGTTGCCTGGTTCATACCAGCAGCTCACCAAACATCTGCTGAATCAAAGGCAAGCAGAGTGACACCTGGAGATTTATGGCAGTGGTTCTCAACCTGTGGGGCTGGGCTGCCTAAGATCATTGGAAAACAGATATGTAGGCATATGAAAACATTATGATTTATAACAGTAGCAAATTAGTTATGAAGCAGCAACACAATAATTTTATGGTTGGGGGTCACCACAACATGTGGAACTGTATTAAAGGGTCACAGCATTAGGAAGGTTGAGAATCACTGCTCTATAGCCTCTTAGGACACAGGCATCATGTCCTCTGCCATCATGCACTATAGGAGTCTGGAGGTCATTAACTTCAGCAGTGATTCTCAAAATGTGGTTCATGGCACACAGACACCTAGATGGCAGCCCCCTGAGAAACCTGCTAAAGGCAGATTCCCAAGCTCTCCCATGACTTAAGAATCAAACTCTCTGGGGGTTTCCGCCTTAACAAGTATCCCAAACCATATGGAACATACCACTGTTGGAAGACCAAGGACTTTGTCTGAGACCACACCCCTGCAGTTCAGGAAGCTACTTCCACTCAAGAGGTTGGTACCTCTCTGGAAACATATCCGACAGATTAGGCCTAGGGCCACACAAACATCTCACAAGTCAGAGTGAACCACACAGCACTAGGACATCTAAGGCACTCTGAAAATGGGGCAGAGGCTGTTTAGGCCAGCAAGCATTGAGGTAATTACAAATCAAGGCAGCAGTTGCTACCTACTGAATTCCTGCTGCGTGCCTGGCATTTTATAGAGAATACCATATAAATAATCCTAATTTCATCATAATGACCCAACAAGGTGGTGCCTGGTGACATTACCATTTTATAAAGTAAGAAACCAAGCCTTATAAAGACTAGTTGTTCAAGGTCACAAGGAAGTAGTCAAGCTGAGCAAATAAACTATTAGTATTGCAATGGATTATTACCCAGCAAGAAGAAGGAATGAACATACAATAGCACAGATGAGTCTCAACAAAGTATGTTAAGGAAACAGACCCCCACAGACTCCATTTATGCAATACTCTAGAAAACACAAGCTAATCTAAATAGACAGAAAACCAATCAGCGGATTCCTAGAGCCTGACCCAACTGGGATCAGATAACTGAGTGTGTGTGTGTGTGTGTGTGTGTGTGTGTGTGTGTGTGTGTGTCTGTGTGTCGGGGGGGGTATTACAAAAGATTTGGCGACAAAATGTTTCTGAACATGCAACAGTAAGAAAATCAAAGTTAAAATCAAATGGGTAATGAATCTGTGGAGTTTCTGGCCGTGCTCATTTGATCTGACAGTGAGACTTCACTGAAGCCTCGGTTCTGGACGTAGTGTGTACAATTTATTCTGCTCACACTGGCATGCCACAAATGCTACCTCTAAGCACCTCAGCAATCAGTCAAGGCTACTGCTTCTAGGAACTACAGGTTTTTTTTTTCTGCTTACAGAGACACATGGTTTAGAGAAAGCAAAGACTGAGTATTTTTCTACCACCATTTCTCAGCACGTGAGTATTGAATTAGTGCATTTGGGGTTGTGCTGTGCTAGAACGCTTGATTTTTCAAATTGCTGATTAAATTGCTGGCTCATATTTTATTTTTTAAAAAAAGGTTGAATGAATTTCATCTTGAGATTAGAACAGTATTTCAAATCTTTTCTGAAATGGCCCTCAACATCCTTGTGCCATTTTACGTGAAGCAGTACACTCTGCAGTCACAACTGTGAAGCCCAAGTATTCATCAACTTGGAAAATGCTGAAGATGCTCTCTGCATCCTGTAGTATCAAACATTCAGCCAAGATTTTTTACATAAAAATAGACATCCATCTCATTAGTATGCAAATCTGCTTTTCTGTATAATAAATGAAGAAACTATATGTACATCAAAGAATTATCTTAAAATACATTTCTTGATGATTTATTATCAATAAATGTTGGATATGCATATTTTTTTATACACCTGTATACCCAGGGTCACAGAAAATTTCTCAAGCAAAAACAGGTTATAAATAGGAAAGGCTGAAGCTGCTTGATGTAAGGGGTAGGTGAACGGAGGGATGGGTTACCAAAGGCCATGAGGCGATTTGGGGTGCTGCATGTCTACCTTGACTGTGATAATGGTTTCTGGACATACATTAAAACTTATCAGATTGTGCACTTCAAGTGTACAGTGTACTATAGTCGAGTATGCCTCTCTAAAGCTGGCTGAAAGAAATGAGAGCAGAAGATCCTTGGAAATACGATGGCTTCCCAAACCTAAACCTAACTCAGTAATTCACTTTTTTTTTTCAGTAATAGGAATCAAACCCAGGGCCTTGTGCTTACTAGGCAAGACTTCTACCATGAGCTTATATTTAATTTAATCTTATGACTGTTTCCAACTGCATTCTGAAGTCCAAAGATGTATTATGGACAGTTTAAAATACAGCCACCAAGTGATTTTTAAAGCTAGTACTCTGACCTCTAAAATCGAGGAAGAAATAACACAAGCCTGTAACGATCACCAGCGGTGACTCAGGGCTCGTCTAAAGCACTTTTAAAGCTACTGCCATCAGAAGATCAGAACAAGAATTAGAAAGGAGAGAAAGAAAAAAGGAGTGTTCAACAGACCCACAAAAAGATATATTTTTTGCAATTTATTTTTCTTTTATGTATATCATGAGTGTTCTGCCTGTATGTATGTATGTACATTGTGTTTGTGCATCGTGTCCACAGATGCTAGAGCTATGGATGATTGTGAGCCTCCATGTGGGTGCAGAGAACTGAATCCGGATCCTCTGCAAAAGTAGTGAGTGCTCTTAACCACTGGGCCATTTCACTGCATAACATACACGCAGTGTTATCCAAAAAGGGCAAAGACAGAACTCAGATTAACACAAGTACCACTCACCTGAGCACTGCTTACCTAAGGGAAGGAGAGAAAGCCTAAGGGAGAAGATAAAGAGGTGTGTCTAGATGTTATCAAGGTAACACACCAACAACAAAAGTGATGAACTGAACAGTGAAGAGAATATGCAAGTGAAAAAATGTAAAACCATAATGTCCTTCAGAGACATCAGACAAAGGGTGACAGGGATTTACAACTTGAACCTCACTCCCCACTACCACCCAGACAGACATCAGGGTTGACCCGGCCTTGTACAAATTATTATTCTCAAGGCAGAGATTCATGACTATGGCCAAGTATTTACTAATATGGTTAAAAATCAATACTGAATCTTGAATTTGTTTTCTAAAATATAACCCACAATGAGTCAGGAACACAGTGCAAGGCTAGGCATTTACTGCCAGAATTAGCAGTCAGCAGGCTTGCAGCAGCAGAGCCCCTCATTCTGGCATTCCCCCCTGCCGAGCTCTCAGCAGGTTCTCCAGAGGAAGCAGGTGGGCTTCTAAGTGCCTGTGGAGTGAACCCTGCAGGGTCAGGTGTGCAGAGCACAGATGGGGATGGGTCTCACTTGCCGTACTGAAAACAGAAAAGGGCAGCTAAGAAGCAGCGTGACAACCATCTGGCAGCCTCCTGTCAGGAGAGTCCTAACGTGTTTACACATATGGGTCACTTTTGCCCTGCTGGAATCAGGGTAATTCGTGTGCAGCTCTCTACTGTCAGAATTGGAGCTGAGGGTGTACTTGGCAGTAGAAGACACACAAGGTAGGCCCTGTGCTCTATCCTCAAGACCACACAAAATCTGAATCCTTGGGTTTTCGATCTGACTGCAACTCTTATGTGCTCTGTGCCTTTACCAGGCTATTTCACCTCTTTGTATTTTCAACCATAAAACAGGACCAAAAGATAGACCCATTGTTTCTGTGAGGATTAAATGAGATAAATCACGTATCAGACTTAGCATAGTGTTACTAAACAAATGTCTACCGTTGTGTTTTTAATGTCTGAAAGGGCCAGTGTATTCCTCATGTGATGCCATTTGGTGTGTGTTTCCACTAAACACTTTTTGCACATGTTTTGAGTGTCTGTTGTCTACCTCTCTAATTTGGAGTTATCTGACACTACCTTATTGTGGAATATTACTTTAACTATGTAAATATGTGTTACATTTGTTTATGCTGTGGCATATTACTTTAACTAGGTAAAGGTGTGTTGCATTTGTTTATACTGTACTTGTTTAATTGTAAAGATGTGTTGTGTTTCACCTTACCTGCCTAAGGCACCTAACTGGTCTAATAAACAACTGAATGGCCAATAGTGAGGCAGAAGAGGGATAGGCAGGGCTGAATAAGTAGGAGAAGGAATCCAGGCTCAGACAAAAAGAGATTAGGGGCCAGCTAGACAAAAGAAGCAGGAAAATAAGACAGAAGAAAGAAAGAGAGGGGTGGGAGGGGCAGACCTTGACAGTGTCAGTTCCTACCCATGATAAACCCCAATAAAAACACACAAAAAAATAAGAGGGGGGGGGGACAGAAAAGGGAGGGAGAGGAAAGGAGTAAAAAAGAAAGGTAAAACGTCCTGAGGTAAAACATAGATGAAGAGAAAAAGGCTAAACTGAGTTAAAAGAGCTAGCAAGAAACAAGCCTAAGCTAAGGTTGAGCATTCATGACTAATAAGTCTCTGCGCCATGATTTGGGAGCTGGTTGGTGGCTCAAAAGAAAGCTTGGTACAAGGCACCATGGTGTACACCTGAAATCCCAGCACTTAGAGGCTGAAGCAGAAGGATGGCCAGTCTGGGTTACAGAGCGATTGTCAAAACAAAACAAAACAACAACAACAAAAAAACTGATTTTAAAAAAGTTGGATTCTCATGGTGATCAAAATACAACTTCCTTTTGGAAGTATACTGCTTAGCGGTCTTTCAAGACCCTTCTTTGGGAAGGGAGGGAGGTCATTTCATTAGGGAAAGTGAAACCCTAGGAGTTTTAACATTTTTCTATTTCTGCCCCGTGAGGGACATTGACTTGGATTCCTGAGATGTTGAATCCGGACAAATGATGCTCAGAGGCACCTACCTCCTTCTGAGGGCCTTTAATCTCTGAGCATCCTTCCAGTCTTTTCAGTGCGTCCTGGGTGAGCAAGACTGCATTTGAGAAGACACTTTCCTGTCCTAGCAGGAAATTCAGCTGCTCCTGCTTCCTCTCACACTCTGAAAGAAGAGCAGAATGAAACAAAACAGGGCTTTGTTATTTGAAATGACAAAAAAGCAGTTTCAGTTGATGAGAACTGTCAATCCCAGACTGCCCCACCTAGCACATGAATAAGCAGGATGTCAGCATTTTGAGGCTTTTTCTCCACACATCACGTCTAGTGGGCGGTCTTGGGAAGCTCTGGGAAGCAGCAGGACACTGCTGTCTTAGTATTGCAAACTATCAGTGAAACAAAAAATTGCAGAGCATGGTGATACATACCTGTAATCCCAGCACTTGGGAGGCAGAGGCAGGAGGATTGCCACAAGTTAAAGGCCAACTTGGTCTTACATGGTGCGTTCCAAGCTAGCTGGGGCTCCATAGAGGGACTTTGTCTCAAAATAACAAACAACCACAAAGCAAAGAATTTCAAAAAGTAAAAACCATCAAATACTATAATTGGCATTAGAAGTGTGGATTTCAATTAAATATAAATTTAAGTGAAATGAAATGCAAAATCTATCGATGGTTACCTGCTTGTGTGTTGGCTTCCTCTGCCTGACTTGGGAGCTGTTCAACAGAAGAGGAACAGACTTCAGCTGTGTGAGGAGTCACCCCTGTGATCTCTGTAGCCACCTGAGCAACAGGAGGATCTGAATTTATCTCTTGGGTAGCCACGTGAGTTACTTCCTGGGTCTTGGCTTTCTCAGGGCCTGCTGGCACGGTAGAAACTTCCAGGGATGAAGAGGGCTCCCCAGTACCTTCAGAAGAAATGACTTCTACTTGAGGTTTCTCTGAGTCCTTGCCACCTACCTCTGAAGACAGCACTGAGATATCCCTTACCACCTGCCCCTGGACAGAGCAGTTTACAAGGTTGGTCAGAAGATTTTTACAACCAACAGCCACGTCAAACATCTGCAGGCTGTCTGCTAAGGAGATGATCTTGGAGAAGTTGTGCTTGCCCACGGGGAGCTTGCCAGTGTATGTCATTTCTAGCAAGAGGGCAAACTCCTCGGGGCTCACCACTGACGCATCGATGGAGATGGCATCTGTGTTATCCAGCAAGGTTTTAAACAGGAGGCTGGCCGCTGCCAGGACAAGCTTATGGGCCCTGAAGTAGATGTTGCCAATAGAAATAGTGCAATCACAGAACCGCTGCTCCTTGCACAGGGCATAGAGCTGCAGCAGCAGCTGCTGGCTGTAATTGGGGAGATCCATGGTATTGCTCCAGCCTCAACTCCTTCCTTTCTCCCTCCAGACTCCACCTAGAGAGGATCAGCCCTAGAGAGATGCACAAAGAACTATGTCAAACACACAGACATTCTGGGAAGATGTAGAGGGACAAATTCACTCACAAGCCAAAGGACAATTCATTCATGTGTTGCTCAACAGGGAGCGTCAGGGCACCAAGACTCCTGAGTGAGCAATAATTATAGTAATAATCCTATGTGATTAGTTAGAGGCGGGGACCTTGCTTAGTGCCCTGCATGCATGTTCTCACTTGCTCCTCATAGTGACTCTAAAGGAGTCATCGTTCCTTCCCCATTCCAGAGAGTAGCGGAGGGAAAACCAGCTATGGAAGGGCCTGTCATCACTACAGGCTGATCTAGAAGCTGTAATTGCTCTGCTGTATGCTACTCCTGCCCCCTAAAAGTGCTGGCAAGCAGGACGGACAGACATATAGACACAGACTGGATATACAATGTCCCAATACTCATGCTGTCATAGCACTGGGCAGGGATCATCACCCTCCCCTTGTACACATGTGTCATTTGGTTCATGCTTGTAGATGGGGGGCTGCTTGTTTGTTCCCGGCCACCCAGTCATGAAATAATCACACAGAAACTGTATTATTACAACACTACTTGGCCTATTGGCTCATGCTTTGTATTGGCTAACTCTTACATCTTAAATTAACCCATTTCTATTCATCCGTGTATTGCCACATGGTTGTGGTCTACGGATAAGGTTCTGTCCAGCATATGGCATCTGTCTCCTGCAGTGGCTACATGGCTTCTCTTTGATTCTGCCTACTCTCTCCTCCTCAATCTGCTTGGAACTCCCACCTTGTCCTATTCTGTCCTGCAATAGGCTCAAAGCAGATTCTTTATTAACCAATGGTATTCATAGCATACAGGGAGAATCCCACATCACATGTTTCAGCTGACTCACTGGCCAGGCTTCTCTGTTTTCTTTGCTGGGCATTCCTTATCATTTCTCCAGTTCGAGTCTCCTCTAAACTTCTAGTGTACACCTCCAACATCTGGTGTACCAGCTTCCCAGTATTTCTTCTCAATGTCTCCAACTGGAAACCTAAAAGTTTTTTTAAACTATGTCTTCAAAGCTCCCTGTCATTTTCCCCACTTTCCAGAAAACCTATCCTAACTGCTCACAGCAAAACCCTAAAATGGGGCTAGAGAGATTGCTCAGTAGTTAAGAGCACTGGCTATGCTTCTAGAAGACCCAGATTCGATCCCAGCACCTATGTGGTAGCTCACAACTGTCTGTAACAGCGGCTCCAGGGGATCTGGTGCCTTCTTTTGGCCTCCAAGGCTACCAGGCATTCAATATGATACACAGACATACATGCAGACCAAATACTGATACACATACAATAAAACAAATAAAAGAAAATCTATAGTTAACTATAGATGCCTGTATCTTCATACACTAGATCTAATCCTTGAAAACCCCACTGGCTCTATCTGCAATATATGGAAAGCCCAGCACCTCTCATTCCTTCATGGCCAGTCTAAGATATCATTCCTATCTATCAAAATTTCTACAATAATCTCATGGCTGATCTCCACACCTCTGCCTTCCCCACCTTCTATTCAACCGCCAGAGTGATCTATTTAGCACACAGAGCCTGGCATTTCTTTGCACAGATGCCTTAAATGGCTTCAGTGTCAGATCAAAGTCAAGGTTCTTATAATGAACTGTACCAGCCCTTCAGAATCCAGCTGTCACTGGCTGTCTAACCTCCTCTACATTCTGCTCCTCCGCCCTCAGCTCTAAGTGCACTGCCTTCCTTGCTGACCTAGGAGCACACTGAGTACACTTCAGCCAAAGGGTTCTTCACATTCCTGCCAAGCTGGCGCTCTCACCTCCACCAGCACACTGCTTAAGGGCCACACAGGTAGAGCATTTGTAATCTGAAAAGCTTCAGAATCAAACTATTCCATTTTTCTTTTCTGTTTGTTTTATACAACAGGGTCTTTCTTTATGTAGCCCAAGTTGGTCTGGAACTCATGGTCTTCCTGCCTCTGTATCCCAAACTATAGAGACTATAGGGCTATTGGCTTGTAGGCGTGTGCTGTCATTCCTGGCTGCTAATCCAAAATGGCACTGACATGAAATCACAGACGAAAAATTCCACAGCTGACCTCATATGACAGGTTCAAAAGTCAACACTCAAGTGTACTAACAATACTATCTGTGTGCTAACCTTCGGGCTAGTATGCGAGAAACAAGAATGAAGACTATGTTTGTCTTCTTAGTTATTTGAATACCCTGTTTATATTTTGTGGCCTATTAACTCTCCATAGTTTCCACAGGTAGACATTCCAAAAACCAATATATCCAAAATATTTCGTGTCTAGAACATTTCCAAGTAAAAACACTTGGTCCATGTCCATCTTGCCCTGCCCTGCATTCACCTATCATGCATGCATCACCCACTAGTGTATGGTGCTCTGGTTGTACCTCACCTGTCTCCTAGGTAATCCCTAAACTTTCCTGGTAGAAAATCTTCACCACCTGCTGTGGCACAAATTCTAATTGGTCTTAATAATAAAAACCCAGAGTCAGATATCAGGGGGTGAAAGCTGAGCAATCAGAGAAGCAGAGCAGTCAGCCTAGAGAGACCTTTTACCTCTACTGAACCCTCAGACTGATGGGGCGATCCTATCTCTATGAATCCTCAGACTGCATGCTCAGACTGCATCCTCAGACTACACTGAGCTCATCTCCTCCTGCCTTACATTCCTCTCTCCACCCAGTCATATCCCTTCCTGTCTCCACCTCCTTAGTGCTGTGGATTAAAGGCGTGTGGCTCCCATGTATTGGGATTAAAGGTGTGAGCCAACACAACCTGGCTGTTTCTCTTTAAGATTGGATCAATCTAGTGTAGCCCAGGGTGGCCTTGAATTCACAGAGATGCACCTGCCTCTGTCTCCAGAGTCCTGGCATTAAAGGCACGTGGCACTCACTACTTCCTGGCCTCTAGTGGCTTAGCTCTGCACTCTTACCTTCAGGCAAGCTTTATTTGTTAAAATACAAACAAAATATCACTACAACCTGCTGTCTCTCAGTGTCTAAAATGCTGCCTGGCACACAAATGGCTGGTGACCTGGCAGAATGAAGCAGCAATTAGAGGGAAGTATAATGATAGGGATTTGCATAGCAATCTAGTTTTGGATAGAGGAGTCCAGGAGTTGGAGTAAAACTTGGAGGAAGAGTATTGACTGATTTTATGCATAAGCATGTGCATGCATGTGTGTGTGTGTGTGTGTGTGTGTACATACACGATATATGTATATTTATGTGTGTGAATGTAGACATCAGTTTCCTTGGCCCGTGAGTTCCCAGGTATTCTACTGTCTCCACCTTCTATCTCCCCATAGAAGTACTTGGAGTATAGATGCACTACACATTCAACATTTATGTAAGTTCTGGAGATTTAAACTCAGGTCCTCGTGTTGTGTGACAAGCATGTTTGCACACCGAGCCATCTCCCCAGCTCCTTGACTTGCATCTTAAAAGTTGAGGAAGTCAGAAGGGTTGGGGCTAAGCTAGTGTGTGCAGGGCAGGTTGTAGAAGGCATGCAGGTAAGAAAGCATCCTCTTGGTCAGGAGGAACACTAAGGGGGGGAGGTTATAAAAAGATCAGGCGCAGAATATAAGGTGGGGGCTGGGAGAGTCAGCAGATGGGTCTGGAGAAGCACAGTATGATGAATAGGCCACTTGGAAGAACTCGGCTTTCTCTTAAAGGCAAAGAAAAGCCACTGAAGGAATTTGTAGTAGAAAGTCACATGGCCAAAGATGGACTTTAAATATCAGTAGTACCTCTTCTTTTTTTGTGGGGGTGGGGAGGTTTGAAACAGGATTTCTGGATGGCCCTACCTGTCCTGGAACTTGCTTGGTAGACTAGGCTGATCTCAAACTCACATTCATCCCCCTGCCTCTGCCTCCCAAGTGCTAGGATCAAAGGTGTGTGCCACCATGCCGGGCATCAGTAGTGTATCTATCTATAGAATTTAAGGAAGATAATTTTGATGGCAGATTTTATTATCAAAGAAGATCCAAACAAACCAATGAGGGTCTGTTGGGGACTGCGGACCCTCAGACCCTGAATTTTCTATGACCCCTTGCCTGCCGGAGTAAACAACTTGTTCTCCTGTGCTTGCAGCTGCTCTGAGCACGAGACCCCCATGAGTTCCTGATGGCAGGGGAGTGGTTTCTGGTGGGCTTGCAGCTGAAAAGTCCTGAGAGCCAGGATAAGGTCATTAGTCAAGAGAGAGCCCTATATAAGCTGCCCTGGAACACAATAAAATTATTCTTGGCATTCTTACATCAAGGATGACCCGTGTCTCTGACTGTGTGTGTTTCAATCTCCAGCCCCTTGCCCGACTTGTGAACCATCGTGTGGTAGACAGGAGGTACAGTACAAGGGTCTTCATCAGAGGTGGAGAGAGAAAGAGGGGAGTTCAAGTGATTCAGGAACTGAAGAGCACAAAGGAAGAGAGAAGCATACCCCAGGGCCCTAGTGTGGAAGGAAGGTCCGGATTACCTGTCTCTGAAGGAGTGAGGTTTGGGTTTGCGGATTCTACAGTGAAGATAAAATTGTAGCATCTCCAGAAGGTAAGAGAAGGGTAGAGAAACCTGTTTATAAGGAGAGAGAGAAACAGTAGCTGTCTTTGTTAAACAGTCAAGGCTGATTCACTTTTTACCCACCACTAGCTTTATTTTTCCTGATACCTGAAATGGACACATGAAAGCCGAAACCAACATATTTGGAGTCCAGGCTCCACTGTGCACATGAATGGCTTATAAATCACCACCACGATCCTCACAATAATCAAAAAGCTGAATGACGGAAAAGCCTTGATTAAAGAAGAGACCACTGTCTCCCTAAGACAGGTGCCAGGCAGACACAGAAGATCAATAGGATCAGAGGCCCAGTGCCAATGTCTCTCTCCAACAAGCACAGGTCAGGAAAACCTGCTCCCTGACTGATGAATTGGTGATGGCCGAGAACCCAGGGCATCCTGCATACATTCCCCAGTTCTCTCCAGGGTGACTTATACACCCACTTGTACTTCAGTCCCAGAGGTACGACGCCCTCACCTGGCCTATATAGGCACCAGACAAAAACAAGGCACATAAACAGATGCAAGCAAAATACTTGGAACGTAGAGTAAATCTTAAAAAAAAAAAAGTTACAAAAAGTTACAAAGTCATTTCCAAGAAATGTAGACTTTGTTTCAGCACCTCAACAGTGCTATGGTGGCTGGTATTTGTTAATTCATACAACTGTTTCAGTTTCTTAAGAGAGGATGGCCAGTCATGGGAGCAGTTAGCCCTACCATTTGAGTACAGGCTATCTTAACATCTATGTTCTAAAAAGGTACACGGTTGTCTGTGGCGGTACATGCCAACAATCCCAGAAGTGAGAAGGCAGGGGATCACCCAAGTCTACCTATCAATTCCAGGCCAGCCAGGGCTGCACAAAAGTCGCAGAGGAGAAAATCCTTTTGTGTTTCTAAATGCACGAACAGTCCCCAGGGCTGAGTGACAGCAGCAGTATGCACAGCATGGGAATTTGCATCCATTTCATGGTACTTAGAGCAAAAGAAAAAGGTTGCAGAAATTCAAAAAATTTTAAGCATTGCCTATGTGATCTTGTGGCCAAACTATTTAATATTTTTATTAACAAGAAGAAATAATAATGTAATAAGTTGATGAATAAACAGCTGGGAAGATCAATACAGGATCTCTTTTATAAAAGAATAACAAAGATTTTAATTTATATTTATGTTATTTGTATGAGTGTTTTGCCTGCATACATAATTACATCACATGTCAGCAATGCCCATGGCAGCCGGAAGAGAGTGTTGAATCCTCTGAACCTTGAGTTATAGGTGGTTGTGACCCACCACGTGGGTGATGGGTATTGAACCCAGGTCCTTTGGAAGAGCAGTCAGTATTACATAGTGAGCATATAGATACTAGCAATGTCATAAACTTGAACAATAAAGGGAGGATGGAGGTCGTTATGGCCAAGAACAATCAAGGACAGGCAAGCGCTACTCAATGTATAAGCTGACAATATTAAAAATTAAAAAAAAAAACTAAAACTAACAGGAATGGTAATTTCAGAATAGACCTTTGGCAAAATAGCACACTGAGGTGATATAAAGTCATCTTTTCTACTACTACAGACATACAGAAGTGCCGGATAAAACCCATAAAAATGCTTTTAAAATACATAGTCAAGTTTTAAAAAAAAATTCCCCAGGCACCTGAAAATGAAAGAGACATCAAAATCAAAGCTAGAATAGTAAATGGGAGTTGAGACCAGGGCCCCGTGGAGTATTCAAGCTCATGTACAGGCCCTGAGCCTGAAGGACGCCGCAGTAACACAGGCAAGAGACGTGGCTTCCAGCAGGCAGAAGACACTGAGGCCCAGGCCCATCTCCCGTGCTAAAGCAGTGCTGAGCACCAGGAAGCAGCCAGCAGCAGCCAGTCTTCCAGATCTGACACAGAGAACCACACACAGGCCGTGCCACACAGGCCCAGCAAGCTTTCTGTGTCTTACAGGAAACCCAATCTGAGAAATTACCGCAAAAACTTGTCTCGGGTATGCATCAGAAGATGCTGGGAAACTTTCATAATCCAAAGCAAAGAGACTCCCACAGAGAAGCAGAAAAAACCCCACAAGGATGCTCACCACCACAAAGCACGTGAGGAAAGCCGGGTGCGAAAGGCAGCTGTATACAGGGTCAGAAGAAAGTGTCAGAGGGACCTTTGAAGTGCGGGTAAGAAAAGACTTCTTAAATAGTGCCCTGAAAGAAACAGGAGGCTCATATTTGCAGTGTATAGATCAACAGAGCTCTCTACAAAGATTCACAAACGGGAGATCACATCCACAAAGTTTAAAGGCATCAAGGAATTTGTAACTAGAAAATATAACAAATTCCTATAATCTTAGAGGGGAAAAAAGTGAAATCTGCAGAGGAAGGGGAAGCAAAGTGCCTCACAGGTAGTGATGATGTTGTTACGAAATAATGACTCATTTTGTTTATTAACTCATTTTATTTTCATAGCACCCAAGGAGACGGACACTGACACTGTCCTTTCTTCGTAGCAGACACTAACATCATCCTCTTTACTGATGAGAAGACTAAAGCCCAGAGAAGTTGCTCAATTTCTTCAAGGTCAAACAGAAACCCCTAGCAGAACCTGGATTTAGACTATCATGGGGCGGGGAGGGGGGGTATGTAATTCATACAGCTGTTCTGGGAAGTTGATCTGGTAAAGAGTTCAGGAGACAGGCAACACACATCTGCCTTGCAGACTGGGAAACATTCACGTGTGCACACACACAGGCCCATTAGGAAACAGCACTCACTGAGCACTGTCTGTGGTAGTAGAGAGACAGAGAGCATTTGAAATGTCCAAGCCTGAGAAAATAGAAATGGAAGCTGTACACCAGACAATACCCAGTAGTGATTAAAAATAAGAGCCAAACCAGCAGGATGAGACATAGCAGGCAGTACCATGAACACAGGTTACAAACATGTCAAGGGACATTATATATCAGTCAAGATCTCTCTCTCTCTCTCTCTCTCTCACACACACACACACACACACACACACAGTACGCATGCACTGGGGTGGGGGGTACGTAGGAACTAGTCACAGAAATCTATTCACTGCCCATCAGATTAGACAGAGCTGAAGAGAAAGGTACTCACTTGAAGAGAAGTCTGAGACAACTGCTCGCAGCAGACATTAGAATTAAAAAGACAGAACACAGGAAAGGAAAGCTAAGACTGTAGAAGACAGAATTCCAAACCTGACAGGCATCTGGTGGGCATTTTAGACGGAGACATGCTGAGGACATGTAGGAAAATATACCATTTCTGAGAATTTTCTAAAATTAAAGAAAGGGCTGGGAAGATGGCTCAGTGCATTCCAGTGTAAGCTGTGCAAACAAAGGAATCTGAGTTTGAATGCCTGGCATTCATGTAAAAGTTAGGCATGACCATGTGTGCCTATGATGCCAGTGTTGGAAGGTGGGGAGTGGGCAGAGACAGGCAAATTCTGTTACCCTAGCCCTTATGGCAAGCTCCAGATTCAATGAGAGACCCTGTTTCAAGGGAATAAGTCATCGAGTGATAGAGCAGGGTGCCTACAACACTCCTTGGCTTCTGCTGCACTTCTAAGAACATGCACGGACATGAGCAACCTCTCAAAATAAACAAATAAAGTGACAGATAGACAAAGGCCTTTGGAAAAAAATTACAAAATATTAACGCAGAAAAAGAATTTAAGCAAACAAAAAAGCATCATGAGAACGGCAGACACGTTACTGACTTCTCAATCATGGTAATGGTGTCAAAAGAAATGAAGAAGCTGTGTTCTCACCTCCACGGACAGGCCTGTAAACCAAGCATGCACAAAACAACAAAGTGCCATTTGAGATGAGCCTCAAAGTGTGAGACTAGGAGACAATCGGTGACAGAGTTGCTGTGAGGGAAAAGAAGCAGAGAAGAGATAGGTAAGAGAAAGTGTAGCAATAAAGCAAGCACAAAGCTCCCAGTTCAGTTAAATAAGAAACGCTGAAGTACTGAGAATTGGAACCTCTTCAGTTGGTGAAAATAGAAAATAACTATTTGAGAAACCGCACACTTTATACTGATGGAGAGACCTGTCTACACAACGTCATGGACACATTTTAAAGAAATTGTCAGAGAAAGCAGACACAAAAGAGCACCTGACTAGATGGCCCTGCATACAAGACGCAAATGTAAGCAAAGCTGATCTTATGATTAAAATCAGGTGGTGGCATCAGGAAGTCATTGCTGGGCACAGAAAAAGACAGAAGGAGAAACAGGAGGCAGAGGCAGGTGGATCTTTGTGAGTTCACAGTCAGCCTGGTCTACAAATCAAATTCCAGATCAGTCAGGGCCACACAGTGAGATCCTGTCTGTCTCAACCCGGTTCCACCCCCACCCCCAATTTTTTTCAAACACAGAATACTTAAGATCACTAATGGTGACAACGATGGTGCACACCTGCAATCCCAGCTACTAGGAGGGCTGAACTTTGGAGGGCCGTAACAGAACTTTGAGCTCAAAACCAGTCTGGACAACACAGTGAGACTCCATCTCCAAAAACAGGACCGAGCAAGACAAACTTCTGATGCTGAGGGGAGTGGTCTCAGACACCAACGCTGGGAATTAAAGATCAGCAACATGGAAGCTAAGAGAAGCGAGACTAGACTCGTTTTCTATGAGTCGGAAGATGCCCCCAAAAACGTTGGCCTGTTAACATACAGGGTGACATGGAGAACATAAGGAAATAAAAGCCAAGACTAGGCAAAGCTCAGCGGTAGGGTAGTCCCTTGCCTGGCATGCATGAGACCCTTGGTCTGGTCCCTTAACAGTGGCTACAAAGAAAGGAATTTACAAACTAGAGGTATAAAAAGGGATAAGGAAAACATGACTAATTCAGTAGGGAGAGAGTGGAAATGAAAGCAAGGAAAGTACACTAAAGAGAAACTAATTAAGATGGAAGCAATAAATCCATGAGTATTATCACAACAAGTGAACAGGTGACAGTTTTGTTAAGAAGTAGGGATCCTCTGCTTGAACTTT